AAAGGGTTGTCATGTGCTGGAACAGGCTGCCCAGGGAAGGGGCTGAGTCACCACCCCTGGAGGTATTGAAAAGACCTGAGATGTGGCACTTAGGGACATGGTTTAGTGGCAGAACTGGCAGTGCTGGGTTAACGGCTGGACTCAATGACCTTGAAGGTCTTTTCCAACCTGAACCATTCTGTGGTCTAGATTTTCCCCATGCTGAAAACAATTAAAAGGTATTATTAAACATTTATTTAGGACAAATTCAATTGTTTCAGCGTGCACAGGTGAGAACCAGCTTGGACACAGATAATTGTGAAGTGAAGCATAGTTGATGTTACTCTTCTGTGATAGTTTCCAAAAGCTTTTAAGGCAGCCTGGAAATGTATATATAATGATTAGATACTGTTTTAAAAGTGAAGTTTTTTTATGGCAAAGCTCAGTATTGAAAAATGCGTGTGTGCTATCAAGTTATATCAATCATTTGAAAATGAAATAAAGTCTGATTTAAAGCTAGTGCGCTGGATTAATCAGCTACTCCCCAGTTGCATTCATTGACCCTGTTCATTCAGGGACTGTAATTAAGAAAAACAGCAGTGACTTCAAATTTGGCACCTGAATCACAAGGTTAAAGCAGTAAATTTCTAAGTCTGATTGGTGCCAGGTTAGGAGGAGGTATCTCTTTTCTCACTGATGAACAGGAGTGCTCGGCTCCTGGCAGAGACGCAGTGAGTGAGGGGAAAAAAGGCAGGCAGAGGTTTATGGAGGATTCTCAGTTATTAAGATACTGAAGACAGCTAACTCTGTCTTTGCAGACTTATAGATACAAAATATTTGAAATAAACAATGCTTCAGATTATGGGTTTTTCATACGTTTCTGGTTAAGCAACACAGAAGTTGCCAAGGTTTAAAATTAAAATAAGAAGTCTCACTTTTTTTGAAAACTGCTTTTTGCAATCCAAAATTAGAATTTGAGCCCTAATTCTGTCAAAATACCCCATGTTTGGACGTCTCTGCCTATCACTTGTTTTGAAGCAAACATATACAACTGGAAGTCAAGAGAATTCTTGCCTCTGTAAAGATATATCGGTTTGGATGAGTCTGGAAGATCCTCGAGTCAATAATGCTATTTCAAATAAAAATGTATATCTAATTTTCAGTGATGAGGAGCACATACCAGCCAGCCGATGTTGCAGATCCTCTTCTTTTGTTTAATTAAAACTCAGAAAGGTACATTAGAGTATCTAGGCTGTTCTTTTGTGGCTGTGGACCATGAAATACAGTCCCCATCACTCAGATACAAAGCTCAAAGAATTATAATTGAGATAAGCCATTTTAGTCCTTAGGTTTCTAAACTGTATGCCACAGGCAGGAAAAGGGAGTGATCCAGCTGCCATCTATGTCCAAAACAGTCTTCTTATGCTGGCTAAAGGCTTTCTGAGATCAAATGTCTTGGTCAGTAACTAGCAGATTAATAACTATAAATTTTATATAAATTATTACACTTTTCTCCATATGCCACATATTTATTTTATGCATGCTTATATTCTGTGAGCTACTTGAGGTGAATAATGCTTATAGAGATCCAGATAAAGTTTTGAAGTGTATGTGCAGAAATAACCTGGCGTGTATCTGGTGTTAGGCAAGATGTAAATTGTAGCTTTAATATTTCTACCTTGTTTTGAGGGGGATGCGACATGTCAAGTGTATAGAGCATTCCTTCTGATAGAATATAAACCAGCTGGCAGATCAAACTGCCTGTTGGTTTGGGCCATGCACTGTCCTGGAGGGAGCAATTCATGTTACTCGTGTTCCCAGTGCTGCGTTTAGTCCATAGGTTGATGTTTCATCTTCCAATCCCTATTTCTGCCAGTTAGGCAGAAGACAGAAGATGAAATACTTCAGTATCCTGAATTAAGAACAAGAAACTTTCTAGCAGATTTCCATGTGCTTGCCCAGGATAATATTCCATTCACTGTTAGTGTTTACCATGTATTTCTTTTCTCTGCAATATAATTCTTGCTTTCACCTATTCATCCGGATGCCAGCTAGAAATTAAAATAAAAAGACTGCACTCTAAATGGATTCCTGAATGCTATTATAAAGCGTGGCAGGTTTAACAAACAAGCTCGATAAAAGTAGTTCCCACTTTGCTTCAATAAATAGAGAGGTTGTTTGTGTCCTTGGTTAGACTGTAGTTGTCCTAGCTTTATTTCTTGCTTATTCTGTTGTACTATATGTGTGAGTGCAGCTTTTAGCATTTATATTTTTAGTGTTCTTTAAAACCAAAATGCTTAAATCAACATGTTTTCTGTTCAAGAGATGCATTTGATACAATCCACAAAATAATGCTTCCAACACATGCCATTTTTAATTGCTTTACCAATTCCGAATTCTCAAGTCTAGCTAATAAATTTCTGCCTAACTGTGCACTTACTCAGAATATGGGCAAGATGTAGACACCATTCAGATGTGAAGACCTATTACAAGATTGAAATAGATTTCTAATGCATTTATCATTCATCTTTGCAGAGTGTGATTTCAATCAGAAAAGAAAAAAAAAAAAAAAAAAAAATCCACCCATATACGCTAAAACATAATATGCTGCTTCTAGTTCAGCTATTACAGACTTTAACATGCAATGTGACCTTGGTCTGCAAAGCATGTTTGGTTAGCACAAAAACTTAATCATAAGAAGTCATAAGTAGAATCCTTCTTCTTTACTGCCCTTTTTCTGGGACTTGGAAATTTATTGCTTCTGGGACAGGTAGGATATGAACAATGGGCCAAATAGAGTCCAGGGTTATCTCATCTGTGTGAAAACTGCTGCTGAAAATCGATGTGACCTCTGCTACACTGTCATCCCAATTCCCACCCTCTGTGTCCTATTTGTCTTTTGGTAGCAGCTTAGATCTGTGTGCTGTCTCTATGTGTCTCTCTTGGGCCAGATTATCAAAATGAATCATTGCCTGCATACCTCTTATATTTCTATTTATTTTCCTGGTGTTGACTAGGTCTGATGAAATATGATTCTTTTTGCATTTGATCCTCACTGCAGCAAGCAGCACCTAATTTAGCTGTGTCTATCTCTTTAAAGAAGAGTAATACTATTTTGAAACTTCAATCTGCTGTACAGTAACATTACAAACCATAGACCATGCAACCTGTCTTCACAGTCAATAGTAATTTTCCTTTCGGCCAATTTAATGTTATTACTTTCATCTCCAAATAGTACAGATTTCTAGAGATTTTAAAGCCGCTATAGTTTTGTTATGCATACTCCATGTATTACTTGCTTTTTCAAATGCCACTTCTGTTTAGTCTTTTGTGACTCCATGGCTTAGATGATATTATTTCTGTGCAGCATCATTAAAAAAACTCTGCCACTGATATATTTAAATATGAGAAAACGTGTATCTGAATCAGTACGATCCCCGTGGTCTGAGTATGTTACTGGAGCTGTTGGGTTTTGTTTTGGTTTTTTTAAGTAGATTATTTAAATTACATGAACACAGCTCTAAAATGATAGCTGTGAAGATGTGCAGAGGTTACCGACTTTTGTTGTTATTAGTCCTGAGGAATCATTATGAAGATGTTCCACTTAATGAACTCACACAGTGAAAACAAAATACTCCCTAAACAGAGATTTCAAAGAATACTTGAAAACTGCTAATGCTCCTGGTTTGTTGCCACTAATGTGTTTTAGAAGCACAGCAAAAAGTGCTTGCTGCTCAGGAGATGCTCCTGGAGTTTGTTAGACTGGATAGCAGTACTGCTGCTGTTGTCAGATTCTTTCTGCGTGTTTTTTGGTTTTGAGTTGGTTTTGGGTTTTTTTAAATAAGGGGTGGGAGAAGGGGGCCTTTTGAATGTGGTATAGTGCAATTGTAAATCCAGGACTGGCTGTGCAGTTGCCCATAGAAAACACACACATCATGAACTTATGGTCAATACGTTAGTTGCAAGCTTTACTAAAAAGCAATTGCTGAGAAGGTATTCCTCATGATTTCTGCAAGTGCAGAAACATAAAAACTGGGTTCCCCTGGATTAATACACAGAAATATTTTTTTAACATTTTGGAATAAAAGAAATATACAAAGTTTGGCTTTAAAGACCGCTAGATTTTAATTTTTCAGCAATTAACTCGGTGTTTTAAGCTGAGTATGTGGGGAAAAACTACTCATAGTGCTCTAGAGGAGATACATTTACCATCCTAAAATATGTTTATATTATCCTATTTGAAAATGTGAGTTCATTGGTAATAGTACTAGTTCATCACAAAATTTAAAGGATTTTTGAAAAAAATAATTGCTAATGTGGTTTCTTTCCGGCTGCCGCTGTCTGTGCACAGCTTGATCTATAACACCACCATCTCTTTGAAACAAGGAGTGAAGGGGAAGCTACCAGGTCCTGATGCTACAATCTCGGAGCTCCACACCCCGTACCTGGGGCAGAGAGAACTCGGCAGAGCGCTTGGGGCTGCCCGTGCCGAGGCTGACGCTGGCAGGGCGCTTGTGAAGGAAACCTGCGCTGATGCTCCCCTGACAACGTGGAGTTGGTGCTACCTAAGCAGGAGGGGATGACTCAGTGGAGATGATTTACTGCCAAGTGCGGGACAGATAACGTTAAAGGAGTAAAGAGATGTGATACATGTCTTGATTAGAATTTTATCAAGGTTATAGCACCAAAACCCACGCATCGCAGGATGGTTAACATGAGGGAATGAAGAAAGGTCATTCAGGTTTAATGAACTGCGTAATACTGTTGTAACTCTGTAGAATTTGGGATATAACACTCGATTACAGCTGTGTTAGAGTCTTCAGTGTATTTATTATTGTTCTATACTATTTTGTAAACTTTTCCTTAGCAGCAATCGCAGCTGCCCAAAGACTGAAACAATGTCAATTTTACTAACGCGCTTGTATTTTGACTTCCAGGTAAACAGAATGCTAGTTGCTAGAAATTACATTTATCTATATTTCCAATGCTTTCTGATGTTGCTTTTAAACCTATCTTTACAGAAGAGGTCCAAATTGCCATTCCAATAATGAAACCAACCTTAGATAAAGTCCAACTGGCTGGACAGGCCTTGCCTCCTGGATTTCCGGCGCCATTTCTTTTTGCTGATGGTCTTTCATCAGTAGAAACACTATTAACCAACATTCAGGTAAATTATTCTCTATAGGGCTAGGCTATGTCATGATAGATAAAATGTGTTTCTTTTTCAATCTCTTTAAAAAGTTTCAGAAACTATTTTGTATCTGCAGTTCTAATTTCTTGTATTTAATGTAATGCTTAGGTTTCCACTGTCTGGCATTATCGATCGTGAAAGGCTTTCATACATTGTCTATTTGACTTAATAGTTGGCAATAATGGTCATATTAAAATTCACCAGTCTCATTATTCCTCCTTTGCTTCTCCCTGCAGTTGGCCGAGGTCAGCAATGATATGGCACTCTGTTTGTAATAAACCACAGCAGCAGGATGAATTAGCAAAAACTATACTGAATGATTCCATGCCACAAAATTGCTCATATGTAACATTTAGCTACTGGAAATGCCCAGCTGTGTTCCAGGTCTATAGGTTCCTGCTTTTGGTTTTTCTGTTTTCCTAGCGGGTGTAAAAGAAACAAATGGATGAATTTTGTCCCTGCTGAAACAAACTGGTATTTTCAGATCTTACATTTGTGTGTGTTTTAGGGCCTACTGAAGGTGGCCGTGGACAATGCGAGAGTCCAGGAGAAGCAGATACAGCAAGAAAAGAAAGAGTTAAAGATGGAGCTTTGTAGAGAGAGAGAACTAAGAGAGAGCTTGGAAAGGCAACTCACAGCTGAGCTGCAAAGCAGAGGTGAGTGAATGAAAAATGGAGTTTAGATATCTATTAAATGTATAACCCTTTGGCATTTCCAGCTGGAGCTAGTGAGGACTCGGAGTTAACTGACATTCATACTTCAGTGTAATGCAGCAGTGGACTAGCACTGGTAATGAAAGATTTAAATTTAATAAAAACAGAATGAAGCACACTTTTCTGCAAGCAGACAGAACAGTGACTGAAGGATTATTTCCTGGAGGGCAACTGGCCGCAGAGAGTTTTGGCAGGTTCTGTGGAGGAAAGCTGATTCAGTTTCATGGCTTTCACATGTATTATTACCACTCCGCCTGCGTATTCCCAACCCGATTTCTTCATTTGACAGCTTTAATTTCTTTTGTTTTCCGTTATCATCTTCCAAGCCTTGAGAATCAGTCTTACTGTGAGAAAGACAGTAATGTCTGTAATTTGAGTATTTAGGTGATTTTTTTTCATTACCTTACTACTTTTCTAGCCCACGTTTCTGTTGGTTAGGTGCTAGTCAGCTGTTTTTTCTTGTATATAACTTCAGTGCGACAAAATAGACAGAACTACAAGAAATTGTCTCCTCAAGTGCAAGATCTGAAATAAATAACCCTAGATAATTTTTCTTCCATCAGGAGAGTGAGACACAATAGCACTCCCCATATGGAGCCTTCTAAGACAAAACCATGACTGTTTAGAAGCTTTTGATAATAATAGGCAATTAAATTGGTAAATCTGAATTTTTCGCTATGATATTGCAAAAGCGGCACTACTCGTTTTAAAATTCAAATCTGCATCTGAAGGCGAGGAATAGTACTCCATGTGCCAAAAGCTACTTGTAGATTACATCCATGAAATCAGAAAGATAAAACTAGATAAGACTGAAAATGTAGGTGCCAAGATCCCTCTTCCTGTGCATTTTGAACTGAAATTAGGTGTGTAGAACAGAGCTGTCCACAGCGCCAAGTCTCAGTAAGAGGCAACAAAGAAGTGGGCTTGGAAATCAAGGTGTGAAGGGTCAGTTACTACTATTGAAGTTGTTAAATGCAGTGGGTGTTCAGAAATGCTGCATCACCCCAGTCTAAGTGTGCATGAGACTCCTGTATTCCTGTAAACCCAATCTTCCCTCCCCGTAGGCAGACAGCACACTGTGTACCTCCTGAGTCACATTTAAGTCAACAAAAAGCCTTAAGCCTTTCACAGACTTTGTTGGCTTTCTGGCTCAAAAGAGAATTTCACCAATAATCAATATCCTCAGAATTGTTTGTCTTTCAGGTCATCACCACACGCTCATCTTTATTATTATAGAAAAAATCAGAGGTAGGTTTTTGTACATGGGTTGCTCAATTTTCCAGTTATGTTCTACAGATCACATTTTGACATTCATAATTTATTAAGTCTCTCAAAGATTTCCCATATAATAGTATCCCTTTTTTTTTTTTCCCCCTGACTGGAGCATTCACAAATCCAGAAAGACCTGTAAAAGTCAGTAAGAATTCAGATGAGGAAGTGGTCACAGGAAGTTTGTAAATACCGTGGATTTTCCCACAAATTCTCAAGATATTTTAGAAAATTTTCTAACAGTATTTTACGATTTGAAATTCACAGGTGTCTACTATACAGAAGCAAATAAATAAAAGGGGCTGCAAAATACTGCTTGTATAAATTCAACTTTAACAATACTTGTGAGCAGTACTTGCTAGAGTGTGCACACTAGCAAATGTGACTCTAAAATAGATGGCAATTGTGAAAGGGCATTTATGTTTAAGCTCATATTCTTTTTATTCTGTTAGTTTTACCTACCTTTGCCATCACTTCTCCATTTGTTTGATTCCGTGATGAATCCATGGGATGAAGTGCTGCTCTGTGGAATTTAACACACATGAACCGAAGCAGCAGAGTGCCAAAGCATCCTCCAGTCCTCTGCACGAGCTGCGATGGGTTGTAGAAGTGTAGTGCTTCCACATGAGCTGGCGTATGCTACGGAAACAGCCTCTGACCCCTTCCAGAGCTTGCTAAAAATGTTCTCCTGCTGGTTCTGAGAAAGTACGTGGGCATCAGCCTCCGGTCCAACTAATCTTCCTCGTGCCAGTCAGACGTGCCAGCCGATGGCAGATTTCCTGGAACAAGAGCTGTGCCCAGGAGGAGAGCGTTTTCTGGCTGCAGGATACTCTCAGCAGAAGCGTGGTGATGGGCCTGCAGAGATCCTACCAGGCAGTTTAAACCAGGGAAGGGGGGCGCAGATCATACAAAGAAGAGACGCAAGAGAGTGTTCTTGCAGCACTGGTGAAAAAACAAGTGTAAGAGCCCGATAAAAAGAGTTTAATAAGGATAATACAGACAGTCTGTTCGCCAGTAGGAGCACAGGGAGAGTTGTTGTTGGCAGAGGTAGGTATTTTAGATGTAGTTCTGGCCCAAATAACGGTAACCTTGTGCTGGTGAAAAGTACAGTTAAATATGAGATTAAGATTCAGGGTTTGAAAAGGAAAAGTCTTAAAAGGTGCATTTTATTACCTGAATTTATATAGGTGAGGGAGTACAATCACAGGCAATGTCAGCAGTTCCCAATGAAGATATTGATCATCTGGCTACAATTAATACTATACAGTTCTCTAGTTATAGTTTTTAACTTGATTTATAGTTGGGTTTAAGACTTGAGATTAGTCAGGAATAGTTTCTGCCAAATCTTACACGGCTGGCCCAATGGCCTGTGGACGGATTTTGTCAAGGCACCGCTTCTGCTTTCTGTCTGTAAGGGAAGATGAGATGATTGTAAATGGTGTGGAGACCTAACGCAGAGCTGGGCAGAGCACTGTATTTTTGCGTTGTTACCTATTTTAAGTCCAAACAGCCAGCTACTACACAGCGTTTTATGGAGTGCTTCAATTAGAAGGAGAAATTCCTAATGAAGACAATATACTTGATTGACCAGTGTTAGAAGCTTGTTTTCAACCTGCTTTCTAGCTAGGAAGTTCCCTTTTAATTCCTCTCTGAGATTCTCAACATACACCCAATGCTTTTTTTTTCCCTTTCTTTGGCTTTACCTCTTTTTTTTCTGCCACTGGTGATGACGTGTGAAGGTACTCATGTTACTCAGTACATAGCCCTTCTCTAGACATTTCATCTTTCATTTGCGTATGTACATGCTGAACCCAGCTTCTGTATAGCCTTACACCTGGCTCGGGCAGTGGCTCTTGTTAGTTCAGTTATTCTGCTTCAAAATGAACCCAACAGCTGCTCTATTTTGACAAAATAAATTTACCACCTAATTCTGTGGGGTTTCACTCTGTACACCATCGGTATGGACATTTCAGATTCTCCAACACAGCGTACACACACACACAGAGTTGACCTGCAGCAATAAATTTAATTTCCTTTTAATGTTATGAAAACATAACTAAAACTGAAGCTCTGACACATTCAGAAGACTTCCTCCATCCATGAGGAGTGATCAGGGAAGACACAACCAGTGTGTTTGGATTATCTTTCTAGATAAAACTACTGGAGAAGGAGGGTGCAGTATAATTCCCATCATTAAAGGAGAAGGTTAGAATGAAGGGCGAGAGATTTATTTACAATTTTGAGGAGGTACATTGCTACTGTTTCCAGAAACTAGTTTAAGCCAATGATCTGCTCAACCAAACTCTGCAGAACTGTAGCTGGAATTTAGTCCAAGCTGGTGAAGTCTGTGTCACGTGACCCACGGGGCTGGCCCTGAGACTCGGGTTCTGGACAGGAGACTTAAATCCATGGGGCTGTTCCAGACTGAGAGTAGGATTTAAAATGTTTAACAAGATCTAAAGCCCTTTCAGATTGTTTCACTACAGGATGTGGCTTCGAGGAGTTTCTGGTTTTATATCGGATTCATGCCAGATTTATTTGTTTTTTCTCAAGATAGAACTGGGCCCTTGCACATTGAACATAAACTCATTCGCTGTCTCTGTTATATATTAATTGTGCTTTAACAGCCATTCTAAGAATATATTTATATTTCAGCAACAATTCAGAAACGCTTGAAGAAAGAAAAAAAGGCAAAGAGAAAATTGCAGGAAGCTTTGGAATTTGAATCGAAGAGAAGAGAACAAGTGGAACAGGCGCTCAAACAGGCCACATCAGGTGACGGTCTCAGGATGTTAAATGGTAATGTCTTAGTTGGCCTTTCACAGTTAGCTTAAAATGATGTTTAACTCAGTGAAAAAAAAAAAAGTAAGATGAAGCACAAAGCCAATTCCAGAATAAAAAACCACAATTCTTTCCTGAAATAATTAAAAATCTATTTCAGGCCATGTGCTCTGTGTCATGAATTAAAAAAATAAGTAAATCTGCAACTAGAGAAACAGACAGAGCAGTTTACACAGACATGACAAGAAATGTTGAATATATTACCAGAGAAATCTGTTACAGTGCCAGCTAAGACAATGTGAAATTTGGTTCCTATAAGGTTCTCTGAACTCTTCTCTCCCAGCAGATTCATTTTTAGAACTGCTGAGCTTCATTTTAAAAGCCGTTTGGCTGAAGTTTGCTCAGCCTCAGGACCTATTAAGTTTGTTAAATATGTATCAGCTTTCAGAGCTGACTAGGTTTTGAATACTTCCCAAATACTCTTGTGAAACAAAAGCAAATCAGTTAATCTCCTAAACAGGATGATTATGTTTTGGGTACTGGGAGGATTTGCCTCTCCTGCTTACTGGTTCTGGCCAAAGTTTAGAGCTTTGGTTTGAATATTTAAGACTGAATGTAACTGAGTTTTAATTACAGGTTCTGTAGCTAAGGTTTAGTCCGTGCATCCCTACCCCAAAGTCTCTGCAGAGGCTCATGGATCAGTCTGCTGCGTGTGTATGTCGTGTAGTCTTTACGTGCATTTTGTGCTGCCTGCTTTGGGCACTGGTAGCAACGGAGACAAAATAACATAAGCAGACTGCAAAAACTGCCTGAACTACTGAGTAAAAATAATGAGTTTAACTTGTCTTGAGTTCTCAGCTGTGAGGGCTACCCAAACTGTTTTTTAAAGTTAGGGCAAGCCTGTCTGCGTGAAGTGCCATCACAGCACTCTGCAGTGCACTGCGAGTTGTGATTTATCTAGGGCACCTAAGAGATATAAACTCCTTAAGTATGAGAGCAACATCTTTCAGAGACATTCTCATCTGCTGGGTTTTATAGTCCAGCATATCACTGTAACCAGGGACTGGCTGGCTCTCCTGATGCACCGACAGCGAACGGTGGTGATTCAGGCACGGATATACAGCTTGTAGTCGCTCCGTCGTGAGGGACGATGGCCCAAGGGAGAGTGGGGTGGACAGAGCCAGCAGAAACCTTTTCCCCCGCCTCTGCTGGGTCGGGAAAATGCCCAGATCGGATCCCACAGACACAGCCAGCACCTTGAGATGAATGTCAGAAAAAAACCCTAAAATCCCGATGTTCTGTAAGGTCACTCGTCCGGATTCTGCCATTGCTGGTGAGCCCCTGCCGCTCTCACGCCAGTCAGGAGTACACGGCGGTTCTGGAAGCCACAAATTAAAGGCTACCAACGTGCCAGCAATGTGATTAACAGATCTTTACATCTGCTATTGTGGGCCTGGCTGCTAACGGTTTGATTTGCAGGCACACTCAGGTAGTCATATATATGTTAGTGCCTGCAAGAAGCTGATATTTACATGCTAATCTGATTGCACATGCAAATCAGGTAGCTCATTAGCATCTTAATCCACGATTTAATTGCAGGTACAATTTTATGACAACAAAATGTGAAGGGCTATTCTGAATATTTTTAATTTAGCTCTGACGGTCTGTCTCATTTAACAGATGCTATTATTAGTTACAGATGACTGTCATTTTACATATATACAACATGTATTCTAAAAGGTTTGAAAAGAAATAACCTTTTTAGATTTAATAGATCAGTGCCCTGAACTTTTCTTCAGAACAGGAATCTGAGTAAGGGAAATCCTGTGTAATGGCAGTCACTTGTAATTTTATATGAAAAAATTGTAGACATGAAAATATTATTTATTTACAGGGCTATATATGTGCATACATCACATATGTTTCATTGACACATACCTGACTAAGATGTTACTCACAGTACTCTCTGTATATGGACTGTCCTGTAGTGGGTTGCCCTGCTTTGACACGGAGCTTGGTTAGGCTGCAGGGCGACCTGAGATAGGCAGCAACATGCCAACTAAAGCCATCCGAGAAAGCAACGGCGCAGTTACTCTCTGTTTGAGAAAGTCCAGAACAGGCTTCTACCTAGAAAAACTTCCAAACTGTATGTGTAGCTCCCTTTCAGGTGTGGTGTTTTCCTTGCTGTAATTTCTAAAAGTGCTGTATTATAAGGGAAGCAGATGTTTCTCCAGGATTTGAGGTGCCGTGGATTCAAATCACATACCCTTCATGCTAATCCTTGCTGGCACAAGGTGGATAATGGCATCTGTTATCCTAACACCCTGGGGCGCTTGAGCCCCCGCCCCCACCCCGAAAGACTGTGCATACAGAGGTATTATCAATATGAAATTAAATAGTTAGTTCAAAAGTGCGTATCATTATGAGACTCTTTCTTGGAAAAAAGCGCACAATCCATTTTGGAAAACTCTCCTCAGAAATGTGGAAACGTTTCACATAACGTCACACAGGTAATGTAGGTTTGGGTGACAGCGCACGCTTACACCAGCCTGAGCTGAGTTTTTAGATGCAGTTTGCACAGCCCTCATCCCCAAGGCGCGCTCGCACCAGCTGAGACGCACCCGCGCAAACACGCGGCGGGCTTTGGCTCTTTCAGCCCGTGCTTCGCGGGTGTACGGCCAGGACAGGCGGCGTACTTTCAGATTATCACGGTTTAATTTCTACTTTTGTTTTGTATGTCAGATGCCCTCATCTCCAAGAGAATTTTGCAGACATATTAATGTCACATGTTGGCTATTATCTGAACCTCAGACAAATGTGAGGCACGTTAAAAATAATTCACTGTGAGACCAGTAATGTTTGCACATTTTGGAAACAATTTACTACTGAAAATTCTATGAAGACCAAATGTTTTATGCAAGACTGTGTAACTTGGAGATCACCCTAGTTTGCTATAAATATTTTTCTAAAGATGCATGAGAGAAGGGCAAAGGAGAATGCATTAATCTTCAGTGTCAATGTCTTTCAGATGCTGGAATCCCAGATATGGAAATAGAACACAACGGAACCCAACATGACAGTGCAGCAATGCAAGGTGCAGTATGTACCGCTTCTCATCACATACGTGTTTGTCATTAAAAATGAAATGCAGAATAATTTTTGTCTCTGTTTTGTTGCTTTAAGATAAATTTAATTTACGCAACTTCATTTTGTTTTCCTGTTCAGTACAAAAAACCTGTGAAAGTCCAGTGCTTTACAAGACTAGAAATTATATTTGTTTAAATAGAGGTGTGGGAAACTCATATTTAGGTATCAGATACATGCATTTAGTTCAAAAGTGATTTTACATATGATTTATCTTTTTTTAAAAATGTCACCTCTGATTCTTACCTATCAAGAACATGGGTGTTTTCAAAAAACATATAAGCTGTAGCTGGAAAAGGGAAGTCATGTTCATGTTAGGAGCAGTTATATAGAGTTCCATTTTGCTCCCTGACTGTAAATGCAGAATGTTCCTGTACTGTCTGGGCGCTCCCCACAGAACAGGTTCTGTGTTCTGGCTGTAGGCCTCTGGCGTGAGGGAGTGGTGTAGCCCTCAGGTAGGGGCACACTTAGGGAGAGCTTAGGGGTTGCTGTTACCACTGGAAGCCTGTTTCAGACACGCAGAAAATCCAGTCAGCTGTCATAAAATTTGGTCTGAGCAGTTTGAACATAGAAATTCTCTGACTTTGGAGAAAGTCCAGTTTTGTGGTGTGGGTTTTTTTGTAAAACCAAGCTCCTTCTCCCTTCGGTCCCGTGCTGCAGTGGTTACACCCCCCTCAGTTCTGCGCTGCCTGCTGCAGCCCTGGAGACAGCTGCCTGTTCAGGGCAACTGCTGCTCCTTGGGGCGCTTCCGCCCTTCCCACTGATGCATGTCATGGTCATGTGCAAAAAATAACGTGCGCTGAAGTAACTAAAGACAGTCCCCTTCTGTGTAGACAGAAGAAGGACTGCAGAACAGTTATAGATACGAACATAACTTCTAGCATTTCTCAACTGTTAAAGGCTTGACTTTGCATACCTCTGGTGTGCATCTGCTGTCCATCTGTCATCCACGCAGGAAAGCTTTCAAATATTTTTACTGCTGTCTCTTTTTGTGATTCGAGGTTCATATGCTGTGCATTACAAAGAAGGAGAATCACAGCTTTATTGTAATGCATATATATACCTATAACATATGTATGTATGTATATGTACGCATATGACTGTGCTCTAAATATTGCAATTGGAAAAAACCGTTACTGCCAGAAATAGTCAAAATATTGGATAAACACTTGGGACACACGTATTTAAATTTGACAAGCAAAATATTCCTAGCGTTTCTGATTTATTTATGATACCTGATGAGATGAGTGCTCAGTGCTCTTCCAAAAAGATTCTGAGAGTCAAAGGCGCATCTGGCCAGAACCTAGTGAAAAAAAGGGAAGTTAATTTCAGTTTTCAGTTGCAGAAAAACATTACAGTTGGCTCAAATGTGTCTTCCCATCAAAAATGATCATAAATAACTGTAGGGAAAGTGATGCATAGTCACTTCCAACAACCGTATACTTACTAGAAGGAATTAAGAAAACTTACACTTCTGTAGCCTATTGATACACAAGAAAACCTTGTGATTTTATTAATTTTATTTCGGGTTGGGTTTTGATTTTTTTTTTTTTTTAAATCTGATCCCAAGTACATCATTCTTTAGTTTTAACTTTGGATCATGAAGGTTTTGGAGAGCCAAGGGAGGACTGGCCATCCGCTGTGCTCAGCCTCTCTGAGCGTGGTGCCCCTGTGCGAAGGCAGAAGGGGCCTCGTGCCACAGGAGTTGTAAACCTGCCCCGTGCTCCGCAGTGGCAGAGCACCCGTGTCTTCAACACGGTGATGAACAGCAGCTACGCTGACTCCTGGGAGGGGTTTGGTGGGGTAATCCTGCTCGTATGTAAATGTGTGAGAGTTTAGCCAGTTCTTCACTAAGCACCCTCGGCTGATAAAGAGGTTTCTGAAGAGCTCTCTATAGAGCTTGTTTAGATTTCAAAGCGTTTCTGTCCTGTAGCACCACCTCGTTCAGTTTTATTCATGCTGATACTGTAATATCTTTTTATTCTCTTTTCCTTTGATTACATTTTTTGTACTTGACAGCTACTATTGCACTGCATGCACTGCCATATTTAACAATTTGAGCACGCTCCCTCATTGCCCCTTCATTTGCTGCCTTTGTTTTTTGGGCCCTGGGAGGAGGAGGGTCAAAACACATGTCCCTAATACAAAGCTGTTTCCAAGCTTCCAAAATCTCTCTCTATTGCACAGAAAAAAGCTTTAGCATCAATGCAGACCTTTCTTTTTCTGTTGTCAATAGCTCTGCTGGACAGAAATCTATCATTCACACAGTGCCTTTCCTTTGAAATTCAATTAGTTTCCCTGCCAGTATCTCCTTAAGACGGTTTAAAGGAAGATTACAAAAATACTGCACAGCCACCTTTCACAGTGATTAAGTCGTATCATATTTTATGTTCATTTCTTAAAATGATTTTATTAACACAAGCTGTTCATACGCTGGGATTCTGATCTACATCATACATCTTTTCCATTTAGTTGACTCATTTTCTCTGTGCTTCGTATATTCATTGGACAGAAATTCTGTGCAGAGACTTGCAACTTTTTTGAACTTTACAGTCTTGCTACCTCCATCCTCCGTCTACCTGATCTTCTAGTCCAGCAGAGCTTGATCTGAGAGCAGCTTTTTAGCTGACAAAATAGAAAAGTAACAGTTTTTGTAGGCACGAGGCCCCCTGCAGAGCTGAGTGGTGCGGAGAGGGTGATGCATGCACACCGATACCCTCCTGGTCTTTCTTCCATAACTCACTTGTGGGCCAGCAAGTTAGTGCATCAACCATTTTATCAACCAATCTCCGTTTCACATAAAATAAACATACTGGGTGTCATTAAGTGCACCTTCAGATCAATGATTTTTGCAAATGACATTCAAGTACCATTCGAGTAGTGCATTTTTGCTGATAAAAGCAAATTAAATTAGCACAACTACAAGTGTGCTGATAAAAACTAAAACCGAACAGCAGCACCATTAGCTAACAAAGTAATATTTTCTCTTTACTGCTTTCTGCCATTTAGTTATTATCCTATTGGAAATCTAATTATAATCCTTTTACTCCCTAGTCAAACTTCACAGTTTTTGCAAGCTTAGCACTGACAAGTGATTTCATTACATTTGATTGCCCGCGCCCAGATTGACTTAACTTCACTCCGAGACCTAAAAGCCCTCTCAGTTTCTCAGATTCCCTGTTTGCACATTACAGCAACAGCTCCTTTAATTAATTAGCATGAACAGCAGTAACATGAACTGCTGAACAGAAAATAACATCATTTTATGATCGCAGGGAGACTTCTCCTTTTGCATGTTTATACCTTAGTTAACTTTTGTATTACTATATTTCATTGTTAGGGGATATTGGAACAATCAGCAAAGCAATGTTATCTTAAAATTTTAAAAAATAGATGTTACCGTCTCGATGATAACAATTTACACAAAATAAAAGACTAAATTTCAAGAAGAGGGCAGCAGCACAGGCAGACGGACTTTCTTGAGGTGAAAACATGGTTGAAAGGAAATGTGGTTCACTGTACCTGCAACAGGAGGGTGACCCAGGGTGCCTGCTGCTGCTGCTTTTGTTTGTGAAATAACCTGAAAGAGATTAAGCACAAAACCTTGCAGTAACTATGAATAACTTTTTATTTTTACATGTTTTCCAAAGATGAAGGGCTGTTGAAGTTCAGAATGTATTTTTGGTTTTAGTATTTAGAAAACTGGGCTATATTTTTTCAATATTCTGATATAACCAGTCAGTTTTCAAATTTAGCCCACAGTAAAAAGGGTGCAAGAGGGACAGAAGAGAGGAGTAATGTTTTTAAGAGGTTTAACAACTTTGTTGCTGTATCAAATTATACCTCCAAATGCTGCAATCCACTGACACCAATCACACTCTGGAATTTCAGAGCATGCTACAACTGCAAGAGACAAATTCAACATCTTGGAAATTACAGGGCTATTGTCTTGGTCTTCCTTTCACTGAAAAAAAATGTTCAAGCACTAAAGTGAGAAAAGACCAGAACCCTGCAATTAGAAACTCTTGAGATTAAACTAAACTGAGGCCTGCTATTTCCCTTGTGAGTTCTTTGCTGTCTGTCCTCTTGAGTCTCAGGCCATTTCTTCTTCCTCCCGTCCAAGCCGTGCTCTGTCCCTAGTGCGTGTCCTGCTCTGGATGCTCTGAATTGTGAAACCTCTGGTGGTTACCTTGTGCTGTGTCATACTGCAGTGTTTCTAGAAAAACTCTCTGGAAGTTTGTGTGCAATTACCAGGCTGCCATCCCGTGCACACACCAGCCAGGCGCTGCTGAAAGCCCTCTGGTTAGCTGCCAGCCCAGACAAGGGCCCTCTTTAGTACCGAGCCATGAGATTACTGCACGGGCTGGCTACGCGGCTCGCCTGCAGGTGGTATGGATGCAGGGCTTTAAACAAAATAACAGTATCACTGATCTTAGTTTTATTTCTATATTTGGTATGAGGTGTTTTTCTGAATATCTCTCTCTCTCTAAGCACATACATATGAGGGAGGAAGCTGAGATTTTGTGATTTACTGGAAACAAAAGGTGGGTAAAGGTTTCCCCAGGAGACTGTGGAATGTGAAGGTCCATACTTCTCTATTCTTACAAAGAGCTAAAACATCAATTCAGTGTCAGTAGGCTTGAGTATTTCCTAAGCAGGAACCACTGTGTTACCTCCCTGTCTGCTCAAACTGACAACGGCAATCCAGCACCTGCATACTTTGTATTCAATGAAGATATTCTTGTCCTTGGCTATTGTTACTTATTAGAAATCCTATTTTCTGTACAAGTTTTTAGGTCTATTAACACGGATGTGGAAATACTCGACAGGGTTGACTCAGTAGTCCTAAGCACAAAGGAAGGAGCCCCCAGTCCCCTACCTGGAGGGAGGCCGGGCTGGGTCAGACACCAGAGGCTGCCCATCCGCAGGGCGGAGAGGAGGCCATGTGAAAGAGCCAGGGATTAAAAGAAAGCAAACCAAACTTTGTTAGTACTGCTGCTCTCAGAAGCTGCATTTATTGTTCACATTCTTCTGTGAGTCTAGAGGAAAGCGTGCCCTGCTCACGGTGTGTTATTTTTTTTCTCATTCACTGCTCTCTGGAAAACACAGATAATGGAAGGGAAAAGTTTTGCTGGACAAATAATAAACAGGCAGAGAAGTCAGTTTTTCTCACTGTTGTCATTCAGGCAAATGACTAGCCCAAAAAACAGGAGAACTGGCTGCAGGCCATGTCTTTTTTTTTTTCATGGTAGTGATCCTTTTTTAGGTTTTTGTAACTGTGTGGTCCTTACCCCACGGGCAGGGGCCCGGGTGCAGCCTCCTGCCAGGTTTGCCGAGAGGTTTAGGGGATTCTGTTGAGGGTTGCCATCCACAGTAGAAGCAAACTGTTATCTGAGTTTTCTTTTTTACTTTCTGCAAAGAGACTGATTTAAACTCATTAGCCCCAGCTTTGTAAGTTCGACTCATTGTTATGGCACTGCATTTTCCATGTGTCGCTGCATCCAAAGCTCGGCTTGGCTCTGATCTAACTGAAATGCTGACTCTGTGTACGTCACCTAGGCAGGGGGGAGACATCAGCTCCTGGCCCGTGTACATGTAGTAGCCTGTAAGACCCTTTGCTTCAAGGCCTGAGGCAGGAGTCGTGCAAAGCCTCTGCCAGCGGGTGTGGCACGTGGCTGCCCCCTGCCCTCCTGCCCGTGAACCACGGCCACGTCTCGGCTCTACCTAACCACTGCTTTAGCAGCTCTCCCAACTCCTCCTTCATCTAAAGTGGAGTTTTTCGTTCATTATTTCATCTCTGCTACCCGTATTCTTTGCGACATACAGTGCTGGGTTTTATTTTTTAACTGACACGAGTAATGTACAGTTACCGATACCACAGATTCATCCTTGTTTTCTCATTATGTAGCAGATCCCAAATTTCCTTCCTCCAGTGACTTTCTCCTCCAGTTTAGGGTGTGCTGCAGTCACTGAACCATCCCAGGCTGTAGCTGTGTCAGTTAATCACAGCCAGCCGGCTGCGTCGCATCGCTCCCCTTCCTGGGCTGGATTTGCACACCAGCATCCCTGGGGCACATTTCTTTATGCAAGCTGTGAGGGTACACATAGTAGTTTTGTTTTAAAGTACTTGTACGGAAATACAGCTGAGTTACTAACTTTAAAAAAAAGTTACTACCAACAAAGCCTCACAAAGGAATCAGAAAATTCAGAGGTGTTGAGTATGTTAAAAAGAAAAAAAAAAGTGACTAGATATGCAGGTGATAATTACTGCTTTTGGATTTGTCCTTTATATACACATTAAAACCCTGGAAAAAAAAGACAAATGATGATATTGTTGCTAAGAGGAAGTGCAAGAGATGAATGTATACCCTGGACTAAGAACTCAGGGAAGACAACACCATCCTGAGGGAGAATTACAATTATTAGCATAGGCTCTGGCTCACTGAGAAACTGTGAGATCTTTACTTGTCTTAGACATTGTGAAGGGGGGAAAAAAAAAAATCCTTTCTAAATGTCTTGCTTATTAAGCCAGTCATGCATTTCACTGTAGGTTGTAAAGCAGTATAACATGCACAGGGGGCTCATAAGCATATTTTAGTGTTAGGGAATATCATTTATACAGTTTTTATATTGTCAATATTACCCCTAGAGAATGAGATTAGGCTTTAAACTACTGTAAATCTACGCTTTTGCTCACCTTTGTATAATTTCATTTTTTAATAGAATGAAGCCCACATAAATGAATATTTGATTAAGGGATAAACCTAATAAAAGAATACATTTATTGCACACAGATTTATTCAAATCTTTCCTATATAATACAGTAAAATGCTGTAAAATGGTATGTAGCTTGCAGTCAGCTACACTGAGGGAATGGTGAATATTCTTCAGAAAGATGAATTTGACAACATCACATTGTCTTTCATGTGTAAGTGGTAGCACAGATGCTCCTAACACTTTAATTCCTCATAGGTGGTTGCTGTATGACGTTGTTAATGCCACGGTATTAAGTTTATTGCACAGCAACAAAAAGGTATTTTAATTTCTGGAGAATAATTGAGAGCTTTATAAAAAAGGAAATATTTAACTATGCACACTTGCTGTTTACTGATCGATAATATCTCCTGGGTGGCTGCACCGTGCTTGAGCTTTGGCATTTACTTTCTCTCTTACGGGTATTCCGGATACCCCCATTGAACTTCCCTTGAGAAATAAAGGCAGTAGGAGGAAAAATTGAAACCTCTTTCAAAGTTTAAATAAAAAAAGTACAGCAGCCCACAGTACCCTCAATGATCACCTCTTATCTTACGTTGGAAAATTTATTTTAAAAATACAATAAAAATATCAAGAATGTAAATAAAATAGTATTGCTGATCCTCACTGATCCCATTTCCGATAAATCAACTCTTCCCTTGACTGCACGTCCGGATTCCTCCCCTCCTCTCTGCAGAGTCCATGTTGCCAGGTGCAGCACCGTAAACGTGTGCCCATGCGGGGTCTCTGCCTTCGGCTGGACGCGTCAAACGTGTCAGAAGGCGCAGGCAGTGCCGGTGCCATGTAAATGGCGAGTTAGGTACCGCCTTTCCGCTGCCTTCCGTTGGTGTTACGTGGACTAATTCACCAAGCACGTCTGCGAGCCCACCTGGCACAGGGGCTCGGGCAAGGAGACGCCTTTGTACAGGCGGCTGCTGAGCCCAGGCCCTGGAGGAGGGGAGACGTGCGGGCGTCATGTGCCCAGGACGTGAAGTGCTGCGGCAGAATTGCTGCCTTTTGGACTGCCTATAAAGACTATCCACAGGATTTTTTGAGGGCAGCCAAACCTACAGATTCTGGTAGTGGGTAACTTTTTAGGTGTACAGCTTTAATAAAGGCTTGATCAATGACAGCCTGCAATGGGAAGAAGTCACATGCAACTTGTAATAATCAGAAGACAAAGAAGAAAAAAAACCAAACAAAACCCACAGTGTTCAATGTTTGGATTTCTGCTTAACCCCTCCCCAGGCCCTGCTAAGTTTAAGACAATACTTCTAATCAGCCAAATGCCTGAAACTAATTTTAGTCACTTCTTCGGAGGTTCCCATGCTCCCAAACGTTCCTCTGGAGATGTTCTGTCCCTGACTCTTCCGATCTTTATTCTTGTTTACATCCAAAATACATATTAAATCATCTTTTTGGAGAGTCTGAGCCTCCTTAAAACCATGAAACATTCAATTACTAATTAGCTGTTTCCTGTTCCTAATGAAGTGAACATGTCGGATTTGGATTAAAATTCAGCTACTGCTCTCCTCTGTTTATGGTTCCAGATGTTTTTGTTTTATCTAGGAGGTTACTTTGACAGCTACCGCTAAATGATAAATCACTCATATTATAGCTGAAATGCATTTTGAAATTGAAATGTGGCAAACTTTGAGATTGCTCCAAGGATCAGTGTCAGTTAGCAGGTCAATACTTGTTCTTTCCTTATGAGTGTTCAGTATTGGCATATGTAAAACAGTAATGGGATAGATGTCAACATTATACAAAATGCTTCTCAATATTATCATTTTGCTATCATCTTCAAGATCAGTACTTGCAGGTTTAGCTGGGTGGATTCATGATTCTTTGTATAATGAATAAGAATATGGATTCTTGTTAGCTTTAGTTTCTGTGGGCATATTAATATTTATTTTTTCCCTGGGCTTAAAGTTGCTTAATATGAAAAATCAGAGTTGATAGGTACTATAACTAGGAGTATTTTTATAAAGGAAGGAAGTAGCTTTCTACTTGTTTCCTTAAATGAAGAAAAATTATTTTAAAAGAAATGTGGCCATTTCTGAATGAAAGAGCTGCTTTCCAAGAACAGATATTGATTTACTTCTATTACATTTTTTAATGCAACACAATTTTATTTATTAACACACAGTTCCCTAGAAGGTTTTGTACCTGTCACAATGGTACATTGTTACTCTGCCTATCTATCTTACGGGGCACGTGAAACATTCTGCCTTCCGAAAAATTAAAAAGCAAATGCCATAAAGGAAGAAAATCCAAATCAAAGTATTTATATACTCAGCAAGTGCTGGCTGGCAAGCACCTTTAGAAAGAAGGCTGGTAGTTTTTTAGCCCAGCTGAGTGGCCACACGTGCCGCAGCGGGTAGAAGTGGGCAGCGCACGGGAGCGGCTCCGCGCTCGGTGCCCTCGCGAGGGCTTTGCCATGCAGTGCCTCTCCCGTGGGAAGCTGCTCACGGGATGGAGAGTGGATAGCTGATCATTTGGCTTGGGGAGAAGTCCACAAACGAGGCATCCCACCTAAGTTTCAATTAATTATAAAATGTGTAACCATGTAATTGACCTTTATTCCTTCTCTTTTTTTTTCTTCCTCCAGAAAACAGAACATACATCAAACCCACTATTATGTACTGAAGGAAACACCTATTGTTGAAAAATGTATAATGACCACTATTTGAAGACTATATAGTTCATGAAAAACGTCCCTTCCAACCTTTGATGCCTTCAGTACTGTGTGAAGAACAGGATTTGTAGCATGAAACTTGAAGGACAATTTCAAGCAATTTACTGTTGCTGCATCGAAAACTGCCGTATTAAGAAATATTGAGACTTTTTACAAGCTTACCATACCAAACCAAGCCTGTTGCAACAGATCATTTTTAGGTCCCCAGAGATAGAAAGGAGTTTTAGTATTTTTAAGCACATGCAGGAATTATTCCCCCTTCCCCCCAAAAAAAAGAACTTTTTTTTTTTTTTTCTAAGGAGGTAGCTATTACTGTATAGCAATGGCACAATGATTTTAAGCCACAAAGGTCCTCACTGGCTGTACATCATACAAGTCCAGTTTATCACTGAAACTGTTCAACATGGAGCTGTTTCGATTGTGTTTATAAATTAAGCTTTGTTTACTGAAGCAGATACTCGATATATATTACGTTTTAAAAAGAAATGTGTGTACATTTTTTAAAAGAATGATGTAAAAATTGTCCTTTCATTAGATGACCAATTCAAAAGTGTGAGCTAAACCCTAATAGCTGACGTAATATGAGGATTATAATTGATGCTTTTTTTTATGCTCAGTTCAGCTTGGCTTTTGGTCTTTTAAGATGAAAAAATGAATATGCAGTAGAGTGTTAGATAATGGAAACTTTTAAGTATGGTTTCTCTGTTGTACCATATTAAGTTAAAGTACACATTCTTTGTTAAAAATGTTCTTGCTAAAAATACAGTATTAAAAATTTTTTTGTTTGACTTTGGAAATCTTTTAAGATTTTTTTTTTTTACTGTGAATTCCCATAGTTACTGTACTAATGCAAAACAATATTTTGCACTATTAAAAATACTTGAAGAAATTACTTAATAAAGAGGGTGGGTTGGTATCAAACATTTTCCTAATTCTTGTTCCAAATTCTGAACTTTGCAAGTGAAACATTCCTTTCTCAAAATACGTGACTGAAAGCTGGTTGGAATCAAGTGGAATTAAGTAATCACCTGTTTACTTAATCACTCTTTACTTTCATTCATGGGTCAAAGGCACAAGGCATGTGTATACATGCATACTTAGTTCACACATGCATACCCTGAATTAAATCAGTCACTTAAAACCAAAAAACCCCTTTAAATACATCTATGGGGAATGTATTTCCTATGATCATGTTTACTACTACTATAAGGATAACATTCAAACTTCCTTTTATTTTTATCACTAGATTTTTTTTTTCTGGTTAGCAGACTTCTGCAAACTTTCAAAGTGTAGTTTCAAACCATACTAGGTAATACAGCACAATAGAATCACCCGATTTTCATTCCTACAGAAATGTTTCAGCTTAACCAGGTATCAGTTCAAGAAGACATGGTGGCCTCTGTTTTACAAGTGAGCAAACTAATTATCCAGATAGTCTTCCAATATACAAACATGGTTTATTCCACATTATTTTTATAGCTAACACTCAAATAAGTGCATTAATCACACTGCATTTGATCAAACAATCATAAATTGAACGAGACAAAGAAACAGGAGCATTAGGAATTGTGAGTCCTCCCACACTCTTTAAAAGCCCATGTGTGAGCACCTGAACTTAAACTCTACCTTTAACTATTTATTAATTTTAGTTGCTATTTCATCAGAATTATCTGAAATAGAGGGTTGGACCTTATTTCTAAATCTTATTTTTAAAAAGGATTTGAAGCAATTCTTGGGACACTGCAGCACTTCTGACTGAACTCTGGTATCACTTTCAAAAATTGCAGATTTTGAAGACAGCTCTTTGATGACCCAGTATCGTGCTTTTTAGAAAGACCTAAAGTAACTAAATATTTCAGTCTTTGAAACTATATAATTTTTTGCATTTTTCTTTAGTTTCTATACAGACTATTTTAGCTTTTTTTTTTCTTCAGTGGCTGATCTACATTTTTTAAGGCTGCATTGATACTGGGTTGATGAGCACATCATTGATTTCTAATTTGCCCTTCCCAGAATAGTTTTAAACGTCAAAGTACTGGCAAATGAGATTTCGGAAACTGATAAACTTCAGAGACTGAATCTGTTGTTAAGTCCTTACTAGGCAGCTTCTGATAAATATTGACAAAGCAAGACATGAGGTTTTTCTGTGTCAGCTCAACGTAATGAGCAACTTGTAACTAACACTTTCTGTTGGAGAACCATACTAAAGCCAGAACAAGCAACAGCTTTGGCCAATTGGAACTGAACAGTTCATATAAAAATACAGATTTCTCTTTTCTTAAATTTCATTTTACTTCCTCTGATCTCAGTAATATTCCAAATGACACCCTCCTCTATAGGGCTCTGGCTGTGAGTTAACACTGACCCACAAACTGCTTTGAAGCTGTTTCTAACTGATGCAGTATGACCCGTGGGACGGCAACTGCGCGCCTGAGCACGGGCAGCACCCACACCCGCAGCGCTCTGGTTCAGAGCAGGGCCTGTGCCCCCCGCACACGCAGATGTTCTGGGATTAAGTCCGACACTGCACGTGATTTTTCTTTTCCTCCGTGCAGTATAAAAACCCTCAGTGTAGACTTTGTCTAGTTCCAGGCGCTGCAAGTGAGCAACAAAAGAAAACGAGCAAATTGCTTTCAGGTCATATTTTTAGGTCTGTGCTGGTCTTCCCATTCAAAGGCAAAGGAGGAGATGAGACTATTTACTCAGAGAAGACAAGACTAAGGGAAGAATTAATTGTCTTTCGTATCTAAACATAAGCTATGAGGAGCAGGAAGGTAACCTTTCCATCCCCTGTGGTTCTCTGTCCTGCACAGCTCTGTGTGCGCTGCTTGCAGAAAGCTGCATAACCCCAAGACCTCATTGCTGCCCGGAGCATAGCACAGCAAGGCAGGCAATGGTGAGCTGCTTTCATGTCTCCTGGACACAATCTCACATGTGGATACAGCTCTCACCTCCCTCGCTCATCTTGTGTTCTGAACAGTGGGGCAGTCTCTAGGAGAGCGTTGGAGGCAGGGCTGGGCAGAAGGCAGGTCAGCCTTCACCACGCTCCTCCTCGTTTGTGGCAGTGAGCTGGACAGCACTGGTAGCCCCCCCAAGGGACGTTGCCTCTCTGAGGTTTTGGCTTTTGGGTTGTTTTTTTTTTTTTCAAATGAAAATGCCTGAGAGGAGCAGGACTTCAGCACTGCCCATGTCCTAGCACCTTCTAAAAGTAGGGGAGCAGAGGGACACAGCTGGGGGGGGCTGTTCGCAGGCTGGGGGGGCATCGCTGAGGTCAGGGTGCAGCACCTCCAGCCCTTCCACATCTGCCTCCATGACGGCTCCGCTCTCCTGCAAAGCATCTCCCCGTTTGTAAATTCCCTTTGAAATGGCATTATGCCAATAAAGTTGGTGTTAGCTGGACACAAGGTGATCTTGGCTAAATGCAGGCAACTTAATGGACGATGTATTTCAGCAGTTTTATGAATCTTGCGTAATGCAGACTGCCATCATAATAAACTCTAACAGAATCAATAGCGCCCAATCTCAATTTAAAATCTGGATCTATAGTAATACACGGCGAGAACACTCTCCTTTAGAAATGCATGGCTGTGCATTTAAAGCTGAATGCTGGTTTAAGTAATTGTTATCTACAAGCGGCGCATTAATATATTTATTTACAGAATATTTTTGGTAACACGACAAAATGTGGGCTAACCCGAACTGTTTCAAATTCCCTTCATGGCCTCAGGTGATCACACCGGCCCCTGTGCCCACCCACGTGTTACTAGGAGTAGTAATTCCCAGCTCGCCGGCCCTGGGCTGAGGATCTGCTCACTGATCTAATTTCCCACTGCTGCTTCCTGCTGCGGTACCTTCCTGGGCTGAGGAGGGAGGGAGAGAGAAAGGAATTCAGGGAGGGGTTTTAAAAGCCAGGTCATGTGCTATCATCATTTGTTACACATACTACAAATGTTTAGGCACTTGTAAAATCACTATTAATAAACATTTTCACTTTTGTTCTGTCTACAAATAAGGGCATTGTCTTTGCTGACGTGAAGCTGGGGTGGAAGGGGAGAAAAAAAGTATTTATAAATGATGAATTTATAGGTTAATTATGATTACTATGGCTTTATGTTTGTGTAACAAAGAAATCAATTGAAATGAGCCAGTTCAGTGTCAACACAGCACAAACGCTGCAGCTCGCTCCCTTTCTGTTAGACCATCATCCATTTTCTGCTTCTGTTGGCCAGCTAACCCTGGCATAATAGAGCAGCCTTTGCATGAACATTGTGGTAATCTAAGGCAAGGGAAAAAAATATTTTTGGAGCTCATTTTTTTAAAATAAAGAACTCTCCTTATTTGAGTTCCAGTTATAAATACAGTAAGATTTTATTATATCTTCATTATGTGATCTGTTGACATAACCCAAAAAGTAAGTACAGCACCATATATTAAAATGCTCTTGTGATAACTGATACTTCACAAATTGGATCTTTTATAATGGTTAAACTTTTTAAAAAGACATTTGGCTTTGCATGTTTGAAAATGCAGTGTTTTTTTTCAAAAATGACATTGAAATGTGTATTCACTGAGTAGTAGAACCCTTTCACTATCTATTAGTGCTTTACTTTGGCTCTCTAGAAGAGGGAAAAGGAGAAGTTTTGTCCCTAAATGTAATTGCTCACCTTCGTGCTCTCAAATCTACGAGGGCTGCCCCAGCTGCCCCGTAGGAATGCTCTGCTAGTGTATCTGTCCTACCAACTCTAATCTACCGATTGCCTCTGAGAGCAATCCAGCCCTGTGCCAACACACCAGGGACAGCCTCTGTGTTTAAGGTCATTATCTTTAAAAACAACAATCATCTCAGACAGGTTAGGCCATACACAGACCTGCTGCTTCTGGTAACAGAGCAAGTACTCAGTATTCCAGAATAAATTTTGCCTAGTCAGAGAGGTGATGGAGATGGAACAGCCAGAGAAGTGGCAAGTTCATATTGAACTATACAAAATTGGCCCAGCTCTAATTAATCATTGTGTGCTTCAGTCAGCCAACAGTGAGACAGATGTACTTATTTTTCACAAGAAAGTCTGAAGTAAATCAATGGATAGAAACTTAAGTCATTTTGCATTGTTAGGTGAAGACGGTTTCATCATACTAAAGTCTGCATCACAACTCCTTCATAATAAACACTGCAATACAATATATCTTACATAAAGGTTATTAAGAGTGCTTTTGAAGTACACAGCCTTACGTAACCGTCACGGATTAAGTGTCACAGTATCACACACGTGTACACATGGCACCAGGGCGCAGACACCTTTTGGACTGTGTCGGCAGCTGTCCTGGGGAGCCAAGGACGTGGTTGGGGTCACAGTACACTGACCCCCACCTTTGGAGGGTTCCACACCAGCATGGAATGCCTGCATAGTTCTCGTTTTAGGATCTGGGCTTTGCCTTAAGCTTTAATCTTATTGCCAAAATGCCACATGCCTAAAATGAATTGTCCTGCCCTTCCACCAAAGTGGCCAAATAGAAAGGAAAACCATTGGCATTAAATGAAACAAGATGAATTAGCTAAAAAGAGACAAAAGAATAAACAGGAATGAAAAATAAACTTCAGTTCACTCAAGTGCCAGTTGGATTTGGCATTGAACTTTAATCATATGTTTCACTCTGTATCAGGGAGAAATACCTGTTTCGTGTTTCCCCTGATGATTCCTGCCATTAGCTGAAAAGTCTGTTTATTCCCAGAGCTGTGCTGCCATCAGTTGATGATGCTGGGGCACTTACAGAGATGTTTTGGCAGGAA